ATTTGTGTTGGGAGGGGGAATGCGGGAAGAGGATTTGTGCTGGGAGGGAGGATTGGGGGAAGGGGGGTTGCTTGAAGAGATATGGTAGAGGGGGGGGTGTCTGTGCTTGGATTGGGTAAATTTTATTTTTCGGGGGGGGGGGGGGGGGGGATTTGTGGTCAGGGGGATTTGGGGGGGTTTGCTTGAAGAACTATGATAGACGGTGGAGGGGTTTGTGTTAGCAGGGATGATAGGAGGGTATTTGTGCTAGGATAGGGAATTGGGGGGGATTTGTGCTGGGAGGGGGGATCTGGAGTAGGGGGGAGAGAATTTGTGCTTGGATGTGAAATTTGAGGGGTAGAGGATTTGTGATAGAAGGGGTGATTTTTTTTTTTTTGTTGGGGGGAGAAGGATTTGTGGTCGGGAGGATTTGGGGGGGTTTGTTTGCAAAGATAGGGTAGAGGGGTTTGTGTTAGCAGGGATGATAGGAGGGTATTTGTGCTAGAAAGGGAAACACTTGGGTGGGAGGATTTGTGCTAGGATGGGGGATTGGGGGGGATTTGTGCTGGGAGGGGGGACCTGGAGTAGGGGGGAGAGAATTTGTGCTTGGATAGGAAATTTGAGGGGTAGAGGATTTGTGATAGAAGGAGTGATTTTTTGGGGGGTTGTGGTCGGAGGATTTTGGGGGGGGTTGCTTGAGATATGGTAGAGGGGGGAGGGGATTTTCGCTAGCAGGGCTGATTTGGGCTTGGATGGGAAATTTGAGTAGAGGATTTATGATAGAATGGGTGATCTTTTTTGAGGGGGGATTTGGGGAGAAGGATGATTTTGAGCTGGGAAGGGGAATTTGGAGGGCAGCAGAGGGTAAGAATTGTTCTAAGAAATGGAAATTTGGGGGGGGGGTGCTAGAAGTGGTGATTTGGGGGGATTTGTGTTTGGAGGGGGAATGCGGGAAGAAGATTTGTGCTAAGAGGGGGGTTGCTAGAATAGATATGGTAGAGGAGGAGGGTATTTGTGCTTGGATGGGAAATTTGAGGGGTAGAGGATTTGTGATAGAAGGGGTGATTTTTTTTTGGGGGGGGTTGTGGTTGGGGGGGGGAGGGGGGTTGCTTGAACAGATATGGTAGAGGGGGGAGGAGATTTTTGCTAGCAGGGCTGATTTGGACTTGGATGGGAAATTTGAGGGGCAGAGGATTTGTGATTGAAAGGGTGGTTTTTTTTGGGGGGGGGTTGTGGTCGGGGGATTTGGGGGGGAGTTGCTTGAAGAGATATTGTAGAGGGGCGAAGGGATTTGTGCTAGCAGGAATGATTGGAAGGGAAATTTGAGGGGTAGAGGATTTGTGATAAAAGGGGTGATTTTTTTGGGGGGAGGGTGTGGTTGGGGAATTTGGGGGGAGTTGCTTGAAGAGATATGGTAGAGGGGGGAGGGGATTTGTGCTAGCAGGGATGATTTGAGCTTGGATGGGAAATCTGAGGGGTAGAGGATTTGTGTTAGAAAGGGTGATTTTATTTTGGGGGGGGGGGATTTGGGGAGAAGGAAGATTTGAGCTGGGAAGGGGAAGGGGGGGAAGAGTTCAGCAAGGGGGAGTATTTGTACTCGAAGGAGGAGGAATTTGTGTGTAGGGGGTAACCATGCACAATACTTTTTTTTGGGGGGGGGGGTGTTTCTGACACACAATGCTCATATATCCCGGGGGGGAGGGGGGGGTTCAGTTTGGCATGTTCACCTTGGGCTCTAGATGAGCTTTTCCCTGGCACTGCCTGGTCTTCACTACTTTCTGAGCCATTGGGATGGAACAAGCATGCAGCCAGTAAGGTCGAATCTCCTGCATACTTGTTGGAGAACGACGAATGAGAAAACATTGAAGCCCTTGGATCAGCCTATCAGAACAGTGTATGGGACTGAAGACGCAGTGGGTCTACACCCATCCATTGAGTCATATGAGTCAATATCACCCGGTCGGGCTGTTCTCAGACCCTCTAATGTCTGTGGCAGAGGAGCCCCAGTGGCAGAGGAGCCCCAATGGCAGAGGAGCCCCAGTGGCAGAGGAGCCCTAATGGCAGAGGAGCCCCAGTGGCAGAGGAGCCCTAATGGCAGAGGAGCCCCAGTGGCAGAGGAGCCCCAGTGGCAGAGGAGCCCCAATGGCAGAGGAGCCCCAGTGGCAGAGGAGCCCTAATGGCAGAGGAGCCCCAGTGGCAGAGGATCCCCAGTGGCAGAGGAGCCCTAATGGCAGAGGAGCCCCAATGGCAGAGGAGCCCCAGTGGCAGAGGAGCCCCAATGGCAGAGGAGCCCCAGTGGCAGAGGATCCCCAGTGGCAGAGGAGCCCTAATGGCAGAGGAGCCCCAATGGCAGAGGAATCCTAATGGCAGAGGATCCCCAGTGGCAGAGGAGCCCTAATGGCAGAGGAGCCCCAATGGCAGAGGAGCCCCCTTGGCCCCGGCTCCATCTATTTGTTTACAAACAAAGCCTCAGGAGATAAAGCTCTCCCCACCACCCCTGACCATAAATGGACGGACCAGTTGGCTTTATGTGCCGTGTGTGCGGTGCGGGAAAACCACGCGGCCGAGAAGACGTTGGCTTAGATTTCAGCCTGCTGGAGTGGTAATATCATTACCGCCGGAGACAATCGAATCAACCGGCAAATGAGCAATTCACTGTCTGAAAATCTAACGGCGCACAAGTGAATCGCGTCCGCTGAACGTCCCAGAGGCTTCCGGACCAACTTATTTCTCACACATTGAAAACCTAACATGAGAGACACGTCTGACATGGCCAGAGATCCCCCACCAAGCCGAGTCGGCGGTTACGGCAGAGTACCTAGACGCCAACTGGCCTGGATTTGCCGGGACAGTCCCGCCCCTTAGTCCTCTGTCCCGGGCTGTGTCCTGGAATCACAGCATCACCTTTGTCTGGGTTACTGATCATGTGCACTATTATCTGAGGGGAGGCGCATCTACGAGTTGGTGGTCCATGCATCTTTAGGGGCGGGGCTATGTGGGAAAGTGGGTGGTAGGAATGAATTAAGAGGTGTTGTCCATCATTCCTTTCCATTAGTTGTATCTTCATAAACAAATTCATTTCATACTCTTGGATTCTACAACACTTGTTTCCCACGCATGGGGGGCTTTATAAAGAGGAAAGTCCAGCACTGCCTCCTGACTGATTGGCTGCCTCAGTCCTACTGACAGTCCGTACGGAAGGACTGTGCCCCTCCTACACTCCATTCACCTGTGTGTGTCATGTCAGCTATTCACAGCATAGCAGTAAAGTCACTTTCTGGCTGGGTTATGTGAAATGTTAATATTTTAGTTAAATAAAAAAAAAAAATATATATACACACATTATATTGCCAAAACTATTGGTCGGCCGGCCTTTCCACACACATGACCTTTAATGGCCCCCCAGTCTTAGTCCGTAGGGTTCAATATTGAGTTGGCCCCGCCCTTTCCACGCACATGACCTTTAATGGCCCCCCAGTCTTAGTCCGTAGGGTTCAATATTGAGTTGACCCCGCCCTTTCCACGCACATGACCTTTAATGGCCCCCCAGTCTTAGTCCGTAGGGTTCAATATTGAGTTGACCCCGCCCTTTCCACGCACATGACCTTTAATGGCCCCCCAGTCTTAGTCCGTAGGGTTCAATATTGAGTTGGCCCGCCCTTTCCACGCACATGACCTTTAATGGCCCCCCAGTCTTAGTCCGTAGGGTTCAATATTGAGTTGGCCCCGCCCTTTCCACGCACATGACCTTTAATGGCCCCCCAGTCTTAGTCCGTAGGGTTCAATATTGAGTTGGCCCCGCCCTTTCCACGCACATGACCTTTAATGGCCCCCCAGTCTTAGTCCGTAGGGTTCAATATTGAGTTGGCCCCGCCCTTCCCACACACATGACCTTTAATGGCCTCCCAGTCTTAGTCCGTAGGGTTCAATATTGAGTTGACCCCGCCCTTTCCACGCACATGACCTTTAATGGCCCCCCCAGTCTTAGTCCGTAGGGTTCAATATTGAGTTGGCCCCGCCCTTTCCACGCACATGACCATAAAATGGCCTCCCAGTCTTAGTCCGTAGGGTTCAATATTGAGTTGGCCCCGCCCTTTCCACGCACATGACCTTTAATGGCCCCCCAGTCTTAGTCCGTAGGGTTCAATATTGAGTTGGCCCCGCCCTTCCCACACACATGACCTTTAATGGCCTCCCAGTCTTAGTCCGTAGGGTTCAATATTGAGTTGACCCCGCCCTTTCCACGCACATGACCTTTAATGGCCCCCCCAGTCTTAGTCCGTAGGGTTCAATATTGAGTTGGCCCCGCCCTTTCCACGCACATGACCATAAAATGGCCTCCCAGTCTTAGTCCGTAGGGTTCAATATTGAGTTGGCCCCGCCCTTTCCACGCACATGACCTTTAATGGCCCCCCAGTCTTAGTCCGTAGGGTTCAATATTGAGTTGGCCCCGCCCTTTGCAGCTATAACAGCTTCAACTCTTCTGGGAAGGCCGTCCACAAGGTTTAGGAGGGTGTCTATGGGAAGGTTGGACCATTCTTCCAGAAGCACATTTGTCAGGTCAGGCACTGATGTCGGGGGAGGAGGCCTGGCTCACAGTCTCCGCTCTAATTCATCCCAAAGGTGTTCTATGGGGTTGAGGTCAGGACTCTGTGCAGGACAGTCAAGTTCCTCCACCCCAAACTGGCTCCTCCATGTCTTTATGGACCTTGCTTTGTGCACTGGTGGGCAGTCATGTTGGAACAGGAAGGGTCCATCCCCAAACTCTTCCCACAAAGTTGGGAGCATGAAATTGTCCAAAATGTCGCCTTAAGAGTTCCCTTCAGTGGAACTAGGGGGCCAAGCCCACCCCCTGGAAAACAACTCCACACCATAACCTCTCCTCCACCAAACTTTACACTTGGCACAATGCAGTCTGGAAAGTACCGTTCTCCTGGCAACCACCAAACCCAGACATGTCCATCGGATTACCAGACAGAGATGCGTGATTGGTCACTCCAGAGAACACGTCTCCTCTGCTCTAGAGCCCAGTGGCAGCATGCTTTACACCACGGCATCCGACGCTTTGCATTGCACTTGGTGATGGAAGGCTTGGATGCAGCTGCTCGGCCATGGAAACCCATTCCATGAAGCTCTCTACGCACTGTTGTTGGGCTCATCTGAAGGCCACACCAAGTTTGGAGGTCTTTAGCTATTGACTCTGCAGACAGTTGGTGACTTCTGCGCACTGTGCGCTTCAGCATGCGCTGACCCCGCCCTGTCATGTGACGTGGCCTACCACTTGGTGGCTGAGTGGCTGTTGTTCCCAGTTGCTTCCACTTTGTTATAATCCCACTAACAGTTGAGCGTGGAATATTTAGTAGCCAGGAAATGTCACGGATGGACTTATTGCCCAGGTGGCCACCTATCACGGGACCACGCTTGGAGTCACTGAGCTCCTGAGAGCGACCCATTCTTTCACCAATGTTTGTAGAAGCAGTCTGCATGCCTAGGGGATGATTGTATACACCTGTGTCCATGGAGGGGATTGGAACACCTGAATCACATGATATGGAGGGGATTGGAACACCTGAATCACATGATATGGAGGGGATTGGAACACCTGAATCACATGATATGGAGGGGATTGGAACACCTGAATCACATGATATGGAGGGGATTGGAACACCTGAATCACATGATATGGAGGGGATTGGAACACCTGAATCACATGATATGGAGGGGATTGGAACACCTGAATCACATGATATGGAGGGGATTGGAACACCTGAATCCCATGATATGGAGGGCGGGGCCAATACTTCCAGCAATATAGTGTATCTATATACACACACACAGTATACAGTATATCATGACATACAGTATCATCCCCTCATGCCTGGCGGGGGAGGAGATCACAGTTGATATTTAAGACATTTGACTCATCTTTAGTCACTGACAGAACTATGTGGGATTTTTCTGCAGAACAGATTGGTATGAAATATTCACGGCAACTCCCCAGGGGCCCCACAAACCTGCCACAGCTTTGCTTTTATCTTCGTACTGCTTGCAAGATACAATACATGATACTACAGATCCATAATCTTCAATGGGAATCAATCTCAATCCTTAATCAAACTCCTGCACAGGGATGGTGGGAACCCCTCATAATGGACACAGCGGGTGTACAGACCCGGGAACTCGGCACAGGGATGGTGGGAACCCCCCATAAGGGGCACAGCGGGTGTACAGACCCGGGAACTCGGCACAGGGATGGTGGGAACCCCTCATAATGGGCACAGCGGGTGTACAGACCCGGTAACTCGGCACAGGGATGGTGGGAACCCCTCACAATGGGCACAGCGGGTGTACAGACCCGGGAACTCGGCACAGGGATGGTGGGAACCCCTCATAATGGGCACAGCGGGTGTACAGACCCGGGAACTCGGCACAGGGATGGTGGGAACTCAGCACAGGGATGGTGGGAACTCAACACAGGGATGGTGGGAACTCAGCACAGGGATGGTGGGAACCGCTCATAATGGGCACAGCGGGCGTACACATGACCCTTTAAAACAAGCGTTTACAGACCTCAGTAGCTGCAAATGCCCTTCACAGTACAGGCCTGAAAGTATAACTAAAGACGTTAAAAAACAAGTTTTGGATGGTGTGTGTGTGTGGGGGGGGGATTAGAACCTCTGTCAGTTTTTTATTGCTGTCTATGCCCCACCCCCCATTAGAGAGATTCATTCTTTCTATTTGTCAGGTTGAAAGTAAATCTCATACTTTGTGTTGTCTGGGAGAGGGAGCAGGGGAGCTGAGCTGCCAAGTCACCTATGGGAGAGGGAGCAGGGGAGCTGAGCTGCCAAGTCACTGCTGGGAGAGGGAGCAGGGGAGCTGAGCTGCCAAGTCACCTATGGGAGAGGGAGCAGGGGAGCTGAGCTGCCAAGTCACTGCTGGGAGAGGGAGCAGGGGAGCTGAGCTGCCAAGTCACTGCTGGGAGAGGGAGCAGGGGAGCTGAGCTGCCAAGTCACTGCTGGGAGAGGGAGCAGGGGAGCTGAGCTGCCAAGTCACTGCTGGGAGGAGGAGCAGTGCGAGCTGAGCTGCCAAGTCACCTATGGGAGAGGGAGCAGGGGACCTGAGCTGCCAAGTCACTGCTGGGAGAGGGAGCAGGGGGAGCTGAGCTGCCAAGTCACTGCTGGGAGGAGGAGCAGTGCGAGCTGAGCTGCCAAGTCACTGCTGGGAGAGGGAGCAGGGGGAGCTGAGCTGCCAAGTCACTGCTGGGAGAGGGAGCAGGGGGAGCTGAGCTGCCAAGTCACTACTGGGAGGGGGAGCAGGGGGAGCTGAGCTGCCAAGTCACCTATGGGAGAGGGAGCAGGGGAGCTGAGCTGCCAAGTCACTGCTGGGAGGGGGAGCAGGGCGAGCTGAGCTGCCAAGTCGCTGCTGTGGGAGGGGGAGCAGGGGAGCTGAGCTGCCAAGTCACTGCTAGGAGGGGGGGCCAGAGCAGGGTGAGCTTAGCTGCCAAGTCACTGCTGGGAGGGGGAGCAGGGGGAGCTGAGCTGCCAAGTCACTGCTGGGAGGGGGAGCAGGGGGAGCTGAGCTGCCAAGTCACTGCTAGGAGGGGGGAGCAGGGCGAGCTGAGCTGCCAAGTCACCTATGGGAGAGAGAGGAGGGGCAGCTGAGCTGCCCAAGTCACTGCTGGGAGGGGGAGCAGGGTGAGCTGAGCTGCTAAAAGTAAAAGTGCTTTTACTGTAAACGTTGAAGATGAATTACTCCACCTCGCCTGCAGCTACAGAGGTCAGTGAGAGCCTTTCTTAAAGCTCTAGAATAGAATACATATGCATGTGACTGTCAGTGGCCCGACCACAGCTGCACTTTAAAGCGGCAATTTTCTCAAGTAAACTATGATGGAGGAGTAGGGTGATGGACAGCCGGTGGCAGAGAAGACGATTGTTCTCCAGGAAAAAGCGCGGCGTATCCGCAGCCCGTCAGCGAAGACGGCCTATCATCCCATTTTTAGCAGGCTGCGCCTGTGTGGGCAGATGAGACGCATTTGTTCTCCGCGCCGTCCTGATCTCCGTCTTTCTTCCATCCTCCTCCTCCTTTATTCTTTGTAAAAAAAAAAACATGACAAGTGACGGAGCTGGAGACAGCCGTATGAAATCTATAAAATACAACATGCTGCCGTCCCGTTCATCGAGATGAAAAAAAAAATCCGCCTCTGTTCCCGCTCAGCCTCCATTCCCTCCTCCGTCCTTTTTTTTTTTTTCTCGTGGCACCCAGTGGCAAAGCAGCCAGATAAAAGGTATAAAAAGGAATGAAAACGATGAATGAAACCGCAAAGAAGGACTGATGGTTATATATACGTTCCCAGACAAAGTTCAAACTCCCCCCCACCAAAAAAAAAAAAAAAATCCTAGTAACTCAACCAAGTGATGGGTGACTACAGGAAAAATGTCTGCTGAAAGTCCTGCTTCTGTAGTCACCAATCTGATCCCTGATCCTGATTGGTCGATGAAGGAACAGAGGGTCTAATGGCAATGCACTGATGACATCATCGACGGTAGCGCTGACTGTGTGTGCCCTGCCTGGCTTTACATACACTACAGATTTATAAAAAAGCATTCGTTGGCTGAATGTCACAAACATTCGCCCGGCCATAATGAATTTTTCCCTTTGATTTGTCCATTAGGTTCATTATTGGCTCCATCTAGTGGCCGTAATGCGGTATTTTCCTTGCTTGAGGGATTTCAGGAAAAATACCCCATGGCGGCCACTGGGGGGAGCCGTCAAGCATAGGAAATAAAGATATCAGGCAGAATTTGGAGGGAAATTTGTTACAGCTGGGAATATGCCTGTGACATTCGGCCAGCAAATGTTTTTATAAACGGACCCCTTAGTCCCCGGTCACACCGATCCGACTTTGAAATCGTGTGACCCCCCCCAGTGAAGTCGCACGATTTCAAAGTCGGATGTCATTCCGACACGAGGTGCGGCTGGCAAGACACGCCCGGTATGACCGGGCACTTAAGTGATTGTAAACCTCAGACATGAATTATGAACAAAGCATGTCCCTCTATGGTGTGTACTTGTCCCAGTCCAGAGCACCTATTTCTGTCCGCTACCTCGTTCCTCTTCATCAGGGGTCTCCAAACGTTGGAAACAAAGGGCCAGTTTACTGCCCTGGCATCAGTGGGAGTAAACCATACCCTAGGCTTGGCGGTCAGAGGGAGGAACAGTAGTGCCCCGTCCTTGGGGTCAGTGGGAGGAACAGTAGTGCCCCGTCCTTGGGGTCAGTGGGAGGAACAGTACTGCCCCGTCCTTGGGGTCAGTGGGAGGAACAGTAGTGCCCCGTCCTTGGGGTCAGTGGGAGGAACAGTACTGCCCCGTCCTTGGGGTCAGTGGGAGGAACAGTAGTGCCCCGTCCTTGGGGTCAGTTGGAGGAACAGTAGTGCCCCGTCATTGGGGTCAGTTGGAGGAACAGTAGTGCCCCGTCCTTGGGGTCAGTTGGAGGAACAGTAGTGCCCCGTCATTGGGGTCAGTTGGAGGAACAGTAGTGCCCCGTCCTTGGGGTCAGTTGGAGGAACAGTAGTGCCCCGTCATTGGGGTCAGTTGGAGGAACAGTAGTGCCCCGTCCTTGGGGTCAGTGGGAGGAACAGTACTGCCCCGTCCTTGGGGTCAGTGGGAGGAACAGTAGTGCCCCGTCCTTGGGGTCAGTTGGAGGAACAGTAGTGCCCCGTCCTTGGGGTCAGTTGGAGGAACAGTAGTGCCCCGTCCTTGGGGTCAGTAGGAGGAACAGTAGTGCCCCGTCCTTGGGGTCAGTAGGAGGAACAGTAGTGCCCCGTCCTTGGGGTCAGTTGGAGGAACAGTAGTGCCCCGTCATTGGGGTCAGTTGGAGGAACAGTAGTGCCCCGTCCTTGGGGTCAGTGGGAGGAACAGTAGTGCCCCGTCCTTGGGGTCAGTTGGAGGAAAAGTAGTGCCCCGTCCTTGGGGTCAGTAGGAGGAACAGTAGTGCCCCGTCCTTGGGGTCAGTGGGAGGAACAGTAGTGCCCCGTCCTTGGGGTCAGTAGGAGGAACAGTAGTGCCCCGTCCTTGGGGTCAGTTGGAGGAACAGTAGTGCCCCGTCCTTGGGGTCAGTTGGAGGAACAGTAGTGCCCCGTCCTTGGGGTCAGTGGGAGGAACTGTGCCCCGTCGCTGGGGTCAGTAGGAGGAACAGTAGTGCCCCCTCATTGGGGTCAGTGGGAGGAACAGTAGTGCCCCGTCCTTGGGGTCAGTGGGAGGAACAGTAGTGCCCCGTCCTTGGGGTCAGTGGGAGGAGCAGTAGTGCCCCGTCCTTGGGGGTCAGTTGGAGGAACAGTAGTGCCCCGTCCTTGGGGTCAGTGGGAGGAACAGTAGTGCCCCGTCCTTGGGGTCAGTGGGAGGAACAGTAGTGCCCCGTCCTTGGGGTCAGTGGGAGGAACAGTAGTGCCCCATCCTTGGGGTCAGTTGGAGGAACAGTAGTGCCCCGTCCTTGGGGTCAGTGGGAGGAACAGTACATTTTTTTTATTATTATTGTATTATTTTTATTATTATTATATTTTGAGATTGTAAGCTCCCAGGATCAGGGCCCTCCTATCCCTCTTGTATTGATCTGTATTGTTGCTGTATTGTCTCCTGTTATATTGTAAAGTGCTGAGCAAACTGTTGGCGCCATAAATCCTGTATAATAATAATAATGATAATATTATTATTATTTTATTATTATTATTATTATTATTATTATTATTATTTTTTTTATTATTATTATTATTATTATTATTATTATATTATTTTATTATTATTATCATTATTATTATTATTATTAT